TACTTTCTTTTTTCCAGAAAGCACAGTGTCTGCCTAACTGCATCACACTGCATACTGTAGGGCAGCGCTGAAGGGAAGCTGAAAGGTAAATTAGCAAATTTCTGAAGTGGCAGAGGAGTGATTCAGAATGAAGACATCTGAAATAGCATGTTTAAGAGTAGATGTTCCTTTTACATTTATGTGGTTGATTATTCTGAACCCTGTTCATAGCCTATATTCAGACAGCCACATCTGCATTACAATAAAGGAAACTGCATGCTCTTCTGTGTTATTTTCCCCTGGACTATTCTGCTTTATTGGTTTATGAGGAAGGTTTTCTCAAAGCAAAAGGGAAATGATGTACGTGAGTATTGAAGGGCTCTGCTAGGGACTCACCTGCCAGCAGTGGGAGACCAAGGCTGCTGCATGCGCTGGCTTCGATGGAGGAAGCCAGCTGATGCTGATCAGAGATGCTGATGGCTGTTCCTGTGTCAGGAGATAAGTCCTAGTTCATGTTTTCTTAACTCTGCAGTTCTGTTACTCTGGTTTCCAAATTTGGTGTTCTACTGTCAGTATATAATAATACAGAATAACAAGCCCCAGCAACAAGAACAATGTCAGGAGCCATAAATGACCTGAGAAAATGTTTGATAAATGAAAGGAGCGTTAGGTTAAATTAAGGTTTAACAATGAAAGCAAGAGGAAAGGACTTTGCTGCTGTAAACTCTGTAACAATGCCTGTGGTGCGTTTTGAATACATACATTTTCTTCTGAAGAAGCTAATAGTGTGAAGTTTTCTGTAGCCTTAGCAGGAGCCCTTTTGAAAGGAAAAGGAAAAGGAAAGGCCCTTGCTTTAATCTCCAAGTATTGTTAATTCTTTCCATTATTTCCATCCTCACTCCTTGCTGTGTGCTCTGCCCACCACCTCCACCCCACCCCCACAGGAAAGAACGAAAAGTTGAGGATACTACAGTGGATCAGCAGAGAACAAAGGTTTGACTTTAGGCTGAGAACTTTTTAACTACTCAAAGCTTTTTTTTTTTTTTCTGAAAGCAAAAAACCCAGTTTTTTATACTTTCTTTTAACTAACGAGAAGGAATTTAATTGAAATAGTTGTAAGGCACAAACCATATGTTATTAACCCCTTATCTTAATATTTCAGGAAGCAAGAGATTTGAGCTTTGTGTTTTCCTGATTTAGAAAAAATATCACTGATCCCACCTTGAATAGCAGGACACTATCAGAAGGACTCTGCTTGCATAATATTTGCTCAAACTGAGTAAACAGTTTAAAGATAAGCAGCTTTTGGCTATTAAATGTAGCAGGCGTGTGGCTGACACAGCTTCATGCTGACAGATGCCTTTGTGTCTGTCTTTGTGATGGAGAGCACACAGATGTTCTCCTTGACATTTAAAAAAAACCTGCTGCTTAGCAAAATAAAATGTAAAATTAGAATGAACAGTGCAACAGTGAATAGTATAACTGATATAACTGATCAGCCTACCCAGCAAAAGACTGTCTCATGTCGGAGTAATGAAGTGTGTTCTTACTGGTGCTCAGTAACTGCTTCGTCATTACTTAAAAATAGCCTATGGAAAAAGAAATTCTCCTTTTCTGCCTCTGTTAAAATATAAATGGATGCTAATCTGAATATCCATGTATGACTAATTCTGTGCCAACCATTTTTAGCAGGAAGGCATGTCAGTCAGATAGAAATGCTGAAGCGATACCCCAGTTTGCAGCTGTAAAAACTCCTAAAAGTTAGTGTACTGCCATCTTACGAACTGGTCTCCTTTGTGATTTCCTTTGTGACAAAGGAAAATAGGAGAAATCCATATTTAATGTTTCTTAGAGAAGCTGCTGTCACACGGATGGAGGCCGCCTACACTGCATTGTTGTCCAGTTCTGGCAGCAGAGCACACAGCACATGGGAGGAGCTTGAGCTGCACATAGTTGGGCACCCAGGTGTTGGTGCCCTGGGCATCTCTTCAGTGTGTGTGTCCTGGTCTCAGTCAGAAGCAGCGTATCTGGAAAGCTGCTGCTCTTCTTCCATTTGGAATGGGTGTTGTCCACGTTAAGCACAAAGCATGTAAAGAGACTTCAACAATAATTGTAGCGAAACGTCTGGTTCCCTTCATGGATTCTACCACGCTGGTCCAGGGAGAGCTGTCTCTTTTCAGTCTGTTTAGTGGTATGGAAACTCCTGAGGAGAGGGAAAATCCTGCTAAGTGATATTCAGGAACATGGAGCGTGTCAGCAAAGAGACCAAGAGCACTGCCCCAGATGATGGTGTTTCCCTGTTACAGCCCAGCATGCAGAAGCAGCTTGCAGGGGTCCCAGCCTGGCACCAGCAGAAGAGTTATTGTGCTGCTCTGCTCACAAGAGTGTGCCTTCATATATTGGTGGCTTTTGAAAACGTGATGACCGCATTTGCCAAGAATTAAGCATTTCTGCAAGTAAAAATGAAACGTGATGTCAAGCTAATCCATGGACAAACACAAAGTGCCTTTCCTCATTGGAGTCGTTGTGTGGAAGCCCTCAGACTAAGGAATTCAAACCTACTTCTGAACTAAAAGCTTGAGGGCTCTGCAGAAGATTGCCAGCTGGCACAAGGTGCTCATCCTACCATTTGAAGGTCAGATAAAATGTAAAGGACCAGATTTCTCCTCAGACTTCTTTTAATTAATAAATAAATAAATTTTAAAAAATGAGCCTCTGTTTTTGCAATGGCTGTTCTGTACTGGGCTTAGTCTTCTGCAGCTTGCTTCCCTTCAGCCTGTGCTCAGGGAGTTTTTATGCGACCTGAGTTTGCTGTAAACTATTAAGTGTTTTGGAGGAAACCTCAAATTAGAGAAGTGGAGAAAGGAGTGATGTCTGTGGCTTTAGATCCAGGATGACAATATCTGCTATTCTTTGTTTTTTCTACAGAAATGATGGTATTTCCCTGGGACAGTTGTTGGGCAGGATTAAGCTTGAATACACTCAGGAAATTTGCTGCAACCAAGAGGCTGAAGGATGAGCACCAGTGGGCAGGCCATGTACTGAGGTGAATCTAGAACTGGACTGGTGCTCAGAAGACTATGGTTATAATCCTGGTAGGCACACATACAGAGGTAAGTTGTACGTATTCAGTTTTGCTGGCTCTCCGAAACTTACTCCTCCACCATCATTAAAGATCAGATAATTGAGTCTCTTTCAAGGCTTGTGCCCTGCAGAAAAATATCCTATGTGTATTAAATATCACTGTTGGTGTGCAGCACTACCCCTATGAGCCTCACAGCACCTCTCCCACAGGAGCAGAGCATACTCCATTGAGCATGTGTTTGCAGCAGCACTCCCCTGTGCACCTGTGCAGATGGTGTTGTTGCCTTGTGTGGTGTCAGGAGAGCACCAAGCAAAACCAGGACAGCTTTGCCTGAAGAACAAGGCAGCTGCTGTGGAGCTACACTAACTGTAGTTTAAAAATAAGCAATTAGAGTACCTACCTTGACTGCCTTATCTCCAAGAAAAAGCACTTGAGCTAGTTGTGCATCAGAGAGGGGCAGAATGTTCCCATTACTGGAGAGGTTAAAAAGTACTGTTATTAAATTGATGTGTTTTCTGGTGTGGGCCTTTAAGGGATAAAGTGTGCTGCAGCACATAGCATAGTCCAGCTTTGCAGTAACTTAGTCTGCTATGGAAAGAGGTGGGGACATCCTTAACATGCTATGTGTAATGCATACTTGGATCTGTATCTATGCCAGATGAAATGGAAGCTTCCGTGTATCAGGAAGATGCAGACAAGTTTCCTTTTTCACTGTTCTTCAAGAAAGATCTAAAGATAGCAGTGAATGTTGTCAGCCAGGCAACAGCGTGCCAGCTCTGGTGAGCAGAGCTCTTACACAGCATTTAAAATACTCTTCATCCTTTTTGCCAGGATCACATTAAGCAACACTGCATACTGGTGTGGTGTTTGGATACTGGAGACATCTTCATTCACGTGGCCATTGTGGGTCATCTGTTTTATAATGTAAGCAGTTGTTACAAATGTGTGCAGTGGGTTCTAACCTGGATGTTGCCAAAAAGCTTCTGAGCGAGCCTGAAAAACAATTTTGCATCTTTTCTCTTTTGACTGATTTGGCTTCCTAGGAACAATTGGATTTGTTCCCACTCTTAGCAGTCCCCCCACACCCCTCTGTGAGCATTCAGCCCAGCTGCAATGGCAGTCCAGCTGCTGCTTGTGAAGCAGCTTCTGAACTGGTGACTACAGCTCCAAGTACAGTGATGAACTGGTTACAATTTTGTGTTTTGTGTATGTGCCAGTTTTAAAGTCTAGCAGTTCAGTTACACTGTGTAGTAGCATAGCTGCTTTATGAGCAGCTGAGCAGTTGCAGCAGATCCCTGCTGAGCTCTCTGCAGCAGTGGCAGGAGCCTCTTCAGCCATCTGACTCCAATATGCCTGCATTCAGCACAAACCATGGAGGTATCAACACTTGATCTTGGTACTGTTTTTAAAATCCATTTGCTGCTTCACTCATTCTTAGTTTTAAAAGAAACAACAACGTTTTGGTAGGTCCTTTCTGCCCTACTGGGTAAGCACAATCTGCTGGATAGGCTCAGCAGTCATTTTCCAGTGACTGTGTTAGTTCAGGTTTGGCAAGTAAGTTATGAACGCCTCTTCTACCATTGTTGTGTCAAGCTATCGTTATCAATTTACCCTCTACATTTTATTTGTATATAAAGTTCATTTTCACAGCTTGAGATGCATAGAAATTGTACTCCAGAAAGGTCACTGACCGAACTGTATGGAAAGATTTGAACTCAGTCCCTCGTGTATCTGTTTTGTGAAATGAAAATTGTGGTTTCAGTTCAGGGCAGAGCAGCAGCACAGCTTTTCATTTTGCTCACAGAGAAAGATAAGCCATTACAAATCATATAGGACTTGCTTCATACAAAACATATACGTACAAACCAGTATTCTGGGCCGTGGAGCTTTGCTTTTGTGTCAAATTACTACATGCTGCTAATTAGAAAAATAACGTGATAAGAAAACAAATTAGTCTGTTTTTCCTTTTGCTGTGTAGAAAATAGAACACAAGCTACTGACCTGAAAGATAGCAATGCTGGTTGTCCTGTTTCATGTAGTCCCCAAACAGTTGATGTAGGGATAACTTTTTTCCTAAAAGGAAACCAGCTCCCTTCAGAAAGCAGACTGAGAGGCGTATGAGGCTTGTTGTGGTTGGCCTCTCTCCCAAAAACTCTTAAAGCGTGTACTTAGGCTTCTTTCCATGGATATTTACAGAGGGATGGTTTTTCAGATGTGTTAAATTACACTAATCATTCTTCATGTGTTCTTAAGCAATCATCTCCCACTCCCCAAAATAGTCATTTACTTTAACACAGCGTACATCCTTGCAATGGCCTTTGTCTTTCAAGCCATTTAGACATTTCAAGTATAACAGCAACTTTTTATCTTGTTATTTTTAGGGGATCCTAAAGGGATTTTTGGAAATCTGGTGACACCTCTGCTACATTCAGAGTTGAGAGACCCTTGCCTGATCCAGTGTGATTCACCTGAACTTCCCCAAAATCAGGTACTTACAACTTTTGCTTTTAAGGTCTCTGGTCAAATGGCTCATCTTCTATTGAAATGTTGCTTATCCAAATCAAGATCATGGCTGTACCTGCATTTACAATACAGCTGTTGGCTTTAGGAAGTAATTTCCACTCTCTAGATAACACCTGAATTTGAACAAAACAAAATGAAGGGAAATGAAGACGTCGGTCTTTTCACAAACAGTACAGAAATGTCTGACTAGCTGCTGTTCCCTAAACTCTTCAGGAGCTGCTGCTGGTGAGCAACACTAGGAACACGAGCAGCTGCCTCAGCCCTGTAGGGAAAGCAATACTGGGCAAACAGTCAAGGACCTGATCAGAGGGAATTCTGCCAGCAGTGCATTCAGTGCCTGAGATGTGCTCCCAAAGCTGCTGGTATTTTTGCCCATCGCTGCAGAGGCAGCAACAGGTTCTCTTTGTAATTGCAAAGTGTATTTCTTGAAAACTCCGTAACTAGGGAGGGATAAAGAAATAGCCCTCTGTCTGTTCAACAACAGGGCAAAAGAATCCCAAATGAGACGAGTTTCCTCAGAAGGAAAAAAAACAGGACAGGAACAGTAGTTTGTTTCTGGTTCCAGCTCAAGAAGTATAGAAATCAGTTTCCTTTCTTACCAAACAATACAGAAGAGTATGTACACACCTGTGATTTAAGAGCACTTTATTGTTCTTTAAGGCTACTTTTAAGTACAAAAAAAAAAAAAAAAAAAAAGATGGCCTGCCAACCCTTTTTTTTCTCCAGGTGAAACAAGGCCACAAAAGAATGGTATATTACAGATTTACAAACACAGAGAGACTTTTTCAAACTGAACTGTAGTTAACCTGGCTCTGTGAAGAAACTTCACCACGTCACGATGGTGAGTTCAGTTTAGTTTCCATCCACCTCCCCCCAACCCTTTGGCTTTCATGGCATTATTGTCTTTAATATATGTTTTACCGGACATATCACATTAAATCTTTATTGCCCTCAAATCCATTTACCTATCTCAGATAAGTAAATGTAACCTTGTAAAACAGCTATTATTGAAAATATTAGCTTTAAAAACATTATTTGTGTTTACAAAGAAATATAGGAGTCACATTTTCCACAGAGTCCATCTACAGTATTAGTATTTTACTGTTATAATGCTCAGTAGCCTGTAGCAGTAACAAACTAGTGGCTATTAATGCTAATGCAGTGTTCTCATAGAATAACTGTGTTCCTGCACTTTTACTGTATTACAGACAAATCTACAACAAAAAAAAGATCAACTTTTTTCTCCAAACAAAAAAAAAAAATGAATGATTACAATAAAGGAAAGGGAAAAATTAAATAGCTACATATCATTAACAAATTAATTGTTCCTCAAAAAATACCTACAAATTTCTCTGTACATTCTTTACGCACAGCGTAACGATGGTCTTAAAGTTACCTATATAAAAAAGTGTTTTTTAACAATCTTCCTACAGAGAGTAGGGTACTGAATGCCAAAGCAAGGAAGCGTTGACTACCCAGTAAGATGGAAGTGAAATGTGTAAAACTGGGGGCTTAGGGGTTTTTTTGTTGTTTTTTTTTTTCCTTTTTTTAAAAATTTTTTTCAAAGAAAATTGAGCAGCCACCTCTCAACAAGTCAGAGCCAATCTCCTGATCTTTCTACCCTGCACCTCTTCCAAATTAAATAGCTTAACTTTAAAAAAAAACAAAAAACAAAAAAAAACAAAAAACCAAACAACACCAAACATAAAAGCCACAATGGACCCAATACTGTAACACAGTCCATAATACATCACGTGTAGTTCATCTTCCAACTAGTTCTAACTTTTTACACTGAACCAATCCTTTCAGGTAACCCAGTATAAAAACGAAGGCCTAGTTGCAACTGTACTGGGAAGATGGAATGTATGGGGAGAGAAGTTATACGTAACGAGGAGAAGCGCTTCGTACTAGCACAGCTGTGGGGTTTATGCCTGCCTCTATTGCCTAATTTCTAGTTAGTAGCTATTAATACAATAAATGCGGTAATACCTGTATAAAGTTTTCTAATGGAGGAATGTATGCTGCAACTTGGCATAGGTTTATGAATAAGCTTACAAAAATTAAAGATCATATTTCACAAACTGTAACAATCTGTTGTCCAGCCAAGATACGCAACGGTAGCAGTTTCTGCAGCTAATTAAAGGTGGACTACACAGACTTAGTTGTAGGAAGCAAGTTCTGCTAAGCAGACAGGGCTGCAGACAGAAACAACGACTCAGCCGTGCGCAAAGCTATAGCATCCTGTACCACGCATCATCTACTTCTAACCTGCGTCGTTTGAGGCCTGTCCTGAGGCTGTCCTCTTTTGCTGGCTGCTACTAAAGTGAATATCAAATACAAATATCATAGAGTACAACTGTACCAGCAGTAAGTATATCTAGGATTGTTACTGACAAAAATAAACTAATTCTGAAGAAAAGCTAATAAGTATTATGATTCTTACTGTCTATACATTAATAGATACCAGCTATTTTTCATAAAACATGCATCGTTAAGCACTATTGAACCCTCCAACCTCAGCTCTATTCTAACAAACTGCAGTGTTTAGGAAAAAATGCCCGTGTTCTGTAAATTATGCAGTCCAGTTGCAAGCACTAAGCACCTGAAATCTAAAGAGAGAAAGACCTATAACCTGTATGAGACTTCCCCTTCCAAAGCTGTTTTGCTTTAAGAAAAATCAAACTGATAGAAATGTCATCCTTAAACCTTTTTCTTTTCAGCAGTTTGCCCTCAAAATATTAGCATCTTTCCAGAAAGTTGCTATGCAACTTCAGTCCTCCTCCAATAGTGCAAATCATACATGACAGTTCTTTTCAAGTATATACATACAAAATTACTTCACAGAGGGAGAAAAAAAAAAAAAAAAAAAAAAGGTAATGTAAGCAAACCAGACAAATTCTAGTCTCAAGAAGCTAGTAAAAGCAAAAAGCATTTGGGTCAACCAACTACGTGTAATAATGGCTTTTGTGGATTAGCGTGCATTTTTTTTTTTTTTTTAAGGGGCAGCAGATTTGCATCAGAGGTTTCTTTGGTAATTGAGGCAGGAAAAAGGATGCTACATCATATGAATCTTTATGAAATAGTTCCTGCTATCATCTTTAAGGGCACCCTTTTACAAATAAAAAGTGAGTACGCAAAACACATGTGTTGAAAACTAATCTCCCCTCCCCCAACACTATTTTAAGCACTGTTCAAAGCTCAGTCAAACCATGCAAATTCACAAACGTAACGGTCCTCTCTTCATGAGACAACAGAGGGCGAGTGATTATGATTGACCATGTGGGAGGATGGGGAAGACTGGCCCCGCCGTGAAGCAGACTCAGGACTGCTCGACACTCCGTCCTTCGCAGCTTTAATCTGAAGCCATGTATCCCCAAGTGCTTTGGCAAAGTGGTCATCGACTGATCCTGTGATGGACACAGAGTTTGCCACTGGCTCAGGCTCCTTGTAATTCTTGCCAAGGCTTCGGCGGAAGTGCTCTTCCACCACTGGGTCACAGGCAGTGGTAGCTGGACAGGGAAACAAGGCAGAAAATGCATTGTGTCAGTGCAGAATGCTGGCACCAGTTACTGGATGCAGGATCCTTGTTTTCTTCCCATTTTCCCATCATCTCTGCATAAAGCGAGACCTCTTCACATCGTTACAGAACCGGTAATGAATGGAGCGGGGAAGATGATGAAAGGATTTAAAATAGAAAAGAAGTGGAACTAAGTAGTTTGTATGTGACCTGCACTGGCATTTTCTATATAATTACAGTTCCCCCTTCAGTTAGAATTTTTACGTAGCTGCAGTTCTGATTCTGCCCTGGGAGAGAGCTTCCACAATGCCACATAAGCTTAAATGCAATTAAAGATGAAAACAGTTCATTACAATCAGCTCCCAAGCCCTCTGATATCAGCCAGTTGTGCAGAGGACCCTGTTCTAAATTACAGCATGCCAAGAGCTGATTGTCAGGGCTTCATCTTGCTTGACATGTTTGTTACAAAAGCTAGTCCAAAAAGAGCACAAATCATTGCGTCTGAATTAGGTACTCCTGGTATTAAAGTGGCATAATGCTATTACAAAAGGAATAAAGGACCTTAAAAATCTGATAATACTTTCTTAAAGAATTGCAATTTTACAATTTAGAAAGAAAAACTGTTTCAGCATTTATCTTTCCAAAATATTTTTTTAAACGTGGTATCTATGCCATAGTTCTTCATGCTGCAGAACAGGTTTTACTGATCCTATAGTAAACATGAGGGCTGTGTTCAAACAGCTCTTCAATGACAATTGAGAAAAATTGTTTGAAAACATAACTATTACCAAACTATTCCAAACCTGGTATGAATACAGCTGGGTTCTCAATGAAGCAGCTTTTCTAGAAAACCTCTAACATCTCGTAATTACTGATTTCTTCAGAAACATCACAGTTTATCCTCCAGGGTTTCATTTCAGCTTCCAATTCCAGTTTTCAACAATACAGTTAAAAATAAATCCTTCTGGGGCTTTTAGGTCCCTATGTATATCAGAGGGGTATTGTTACACGGACTGACCCTGTTTGGCTGATGAAACTGCCATGGACTTGAACCAAAACTCACTTTTTGAAATGCTGTGCGCTCAAATCAAGGCATCAGCAGGTAAATGACTAGATAGGAAAAAAAGCCGTGCTCTCCCCTAGCTACACAGTAAGAGAAAGCAAAGAGAAATAGCCCAAGGTTTCTTAGTAATTACTGTATGAAAAGATTTCATGAGAAGTACTAATTGCGCAGAGGGTAGAAAGCGCCTTCCCTGGGTTGCTATGGCAACTGCCCTCCAAAGCTTTTTTGTGCTATCCCTGCAGAGAAAGGTGGAGGGTTTGTGCTTTGGAAGAGGATTTGTATCTACAGGAAAATATTTTGTTCTGTAGCTGAATTATAAACAGCTACCACTGACTGAAAGGCTGGGTTGGATTTGCGGGTCACATCAGCTCGCTGCTTGTTAGACTAAAATAAATATAATGACTTACTTGTCAATACTTCTCAAAATAAGAGAAAAGAACACTTCTCCCTCGTTTTGAAGTGGTATCTTTTATTCTGGCACAGCACTGACAGTGAGAAGACGTGCTGCTGTGTGAGTGCCTCTGGGTAGAAAGGATACAGAACGAGAAGCCTGTTGTTTCACCTCCTTTTATTCTGAGTAATACACCAAAGCCTACACAGCTAAAGTTAGCGAGGAAATGTTGTTCCCCAGTTCTTGTCAGGCAGTTAGTTAGAGTGCTGAGATGGAACTTACTGCTAGAGGGTCTTCTGTAGGCAGGCACTGCTGAACCGCAGCCACTGTGAGCAATGGGGCAGTGAGAGAGGTTGCAGTTCCGGTTGTTGGCAGAAGCACACGTGATGACAGACGGACGGTTCTAATGGGGGAGAGAAAAGGAAACCTCCACTCAGTACTGGACATCATCTAACAGCAGTTCTTTGCATCATCGCTGGAGATCCATGCAGACGGAACCGAAGAGGTTCGCAGATCTTGCAGGTATTCACCTCTGAGTGCTCATCACGTTTCAATGGCACCATTTTTCACTCAGAAAGGAGACCTCCTGGCCTAATTCTGTACTTCAGCCACAAAACAATTAAGCCCATAAGTTAGAAAATATGAAGAGCTCCTGAGCAAGTCATGACTGTAAACACTTCCCTGTTATAACTCATCTGCTCTTCTAGCACGACTTAATAAACATCACCCTTTTTCATTCTTAACACATGCAAATGCCTCAAAATACACATTCATAAAATTTGAATTCCACAATGTATACAAAGTGTAAATTTAAAATGCTCTTATTATAGTTGTTTATCATATCAATGTTACACTGAAACAAGCAAGGCCTTAGGAAAAGGAATGGCCTTCTTCCCTGAGGTACGTAAAGGTATGGAAGTACACGTGCTTTGGATCATGGGTATCCTTTACCATGTAAGAAGTCCATTCTGCTGTACTCAGTGCAAGTTAATCAAGTGTCCAAAAGATTAGGAGAATTGGTGCAATTAACACAGTTTTAATTTTTTGTCCGCAAAATCCTCAAAAATCACTATTTTACCCACCACATACAAAGTAATGTAGCACTACATAATGACAAAACTTTTCTGTTCTTCAAGAGCAAAAAAGAAAGGAAAAGAGATGAGCTTTCAAGGGCAGGTTTAATGCTATTTGTATAGGCACAACCAGAACAAATGCCATTCACATCTTACTGCATGGACGGCAAAGTCAAAAAGTAAATAAAGAAAAAAGGTCATTTATTTGCATTTTCCTGTAAGCAGTTCACATATGGCACTTTCTGTTTTTACTTACTTAAGGGCAAACATTATGTGCATCTGTGGAGCAGTTTAAGAAATGTATACATGCTTCTCATATGCAAGATATGAGAAGCAGAGAGAGGTGGTAGGAGAGCTTGTCTCAGGAATGTGTGCACTGCCAAAAGCAAGAGGCAGGGATAATGAGTCGTACAGAACCCCCTGGCATGATTCTGCGTGTGCAGGTGCACCGAGCAGACTGTGCCCATGTATATAAAAAACACTGGGATGAGAAGCTGAGAATGTAAAAGCAGCAGCTGCTGCAACTGAATACCTGTACACCACCTAAAATAAAAGGTACGTTATCCTCCTCTCTGTCAGAAACATGCAGTAAGATAAAATCCCATTCAACGTGCAATAAGAAAAATGAATTGTATTTTCAATATACTTTCTTTCCTTTGTACCATCACCTCTGTGATCTTAGCCATTTCTTACCTCAACATCCTATTTCCTCAAGAAAGAAGATTGCAATCTAGCTCAAGATATCAAAGATAACAAAATAGAGGGGAATCTGCAGATGGGTAATAGGAATCAGCCCAAGTCAAACACTAAAATAGAAGAGTGTGAGTGGTGTTAGCTGCCAAGCTGAGAAACAGCAGTCATGCTATCAAAGGGCAGCAGTGGCGTCACTGGCAGCCTGTCCCTTCCTCCTCTGTCATCACTGAACGCTGAGAGCAAAGAAGAGCTGTTGTGCACAGAACAATAACTGTGTGAGCTGTGTGCCGAATGATGCAAGATGCCAGTGACACTGGTGTAAAGCTAGGCATTTTGGCGTGGCAAAACGTGGACCAGTGTATGTAGCCAACCGTGGTAGAAATGCACACAGTAGATACCAAGTACACACTGCAGTGGAAAAAGGTTTTCAATAAACTGCATATAAAAAAATCCCAGCCTCGGAAAGATCATCTACTCAAAGTGTTTACCCTTTGCAGTACATCACTGAAGGGGTAGAAGGAAGGAAGAAAGGAAGGAAGGAAGAGCTTGGGTACACAGGCCAGTCTAAGCTCTCAACACTGCAGTTCATCATAACTCAATTATTGTGCTTCACCACTCCACCCAAGCGAGTGAGAAGAAAAGAAAGTCTGGCACACATGGAAACTGGTTTTGTATAACTTGCATCAAAATGCTCACCTCCAGCAGTTCTCAAGGAAAACAAATAAATACGATGCAGAAAAAAGAGCCAACAACCAAAACTAAGAGAACAAATTTAAAAAAAAAAAAACGAACACTCCAGTGTATGGAACAGTGGTATAGTATTACCAAAAATCATTATTTTGCTTTAGGAAAAACTATTACAAATAGGAATACAACACTGATCTGGAGAACACAGTGATGCTTCTGACTAGCTAGGACAACTAAAATCACTGGAGTTTCTTTCACTTGGAAAATTCAGTGCAAAAATTGATTAAAAACACCTTCTGTCTTCTATCTAGCTGTTCATCAGTCCTAGCAACATGAAGCTGGCACAGGGCAGGGAAGCACTCAATGATTGCCAATGGGAGCACATATAAATGCTCTCTATACATGCATTGCCTGACAGGTACCAGAGCCTCGCTTAGCCACAGCAACACTGACTTAGTATTCCCAATTCAACACATGCATTCACAAGCTGAGCAAAGCATCAGAAGAAGCAGGATGGCTAAAAAATCTCCGACAGATGCACTAGGAATTTAATTCACGCTGAGCTGACATTCATTGTGTTCTTTAAAATACAATTTGCCTGAAGAATGGTATCGCCTACCTACTGTAACCCACAATACGTTCTGCTTACGTCTGGGAAGTCCTCATTGTGTCTACAGCAAGGATTTCTACAGCCACCCACTTCCTTCTTAACCCAGAAGCCAATACCTGCTGCCGTTCCACAGAAGTCAGTGTAGGTGTGATGCCAACTGTTCGGGTTGCATCCATGCTGTTTTTGGTCAGTGCGAGAGGTTGATCCATCGTCAGACTTGGGATTGAAGCATACATGTGATTGGCATGAAGGCTCATGGTTGGGGCAGCAGCCCTCTCTATCGGGCTGCGACTCCTCTCTCTGTGCTCCTTCCGATAATCTCCATTGGCAGTCTTGTTTCTAATAAATGAAAAACAAAAAAAAGTCAGAGAACTTACTGGCTTTTAGAAGCCATAGCGACATATACTACATGTAATCCCTTTAAGAAATGGGAGGCAGTGCATTCTGCTTGGTTTTTGAGGAGGGGTACAGCATCTCTCATGAGGTACCCTGGTTTATCCAACCACCTCCCAACAAAGGCAAGAAAATGATTCACACTTGCAAACTCTGGCAACCAACATTCATTTTCAGAACTCTTAAGAATTTTTGGAATTTCTTAAGAAACTTTTTTAAATGCACTGAGTTAAAGTAACAATTGATAATAACTGGCCTTTGTTACAATCACCTCCTCATTTGGAATACTATTAATGGAACACTGCCACTTAACACTGCAGTATTCTCTAAGCACTGCTGAAGCCCAAAAGCCTATTTAGCCAAAGGACAGGGGATGGTAACAGCAAAATTCACTGATTCAAAGCAGGAAGCACAATTTTCAGAGCAGAAAATGAAAGAGAAGCAAACTACACATCTCAGAACCATTTAATTACCATTAATCTTCAAAAGAATAATTTCAAATTACTGCTGAACAGTAGATCTCAGTGGACACGCTCACATAATCAAGCTTTCATTCAGCGCAACCAAAACAACACTGATTTTGTACTCATGTATGAGATATTTCACTTTACACCGTGCTTCTTGGCGTATGGGCAGTACACACATCTTCATTACTTCCTTGGCTCACTTCAAAGGAAAGGAGCTTCACCCACACATCACTCACAGCCACCTGCCAACCGCTGGCTCAGCGTGGGTCTGCCCAGCAGGTGGGAACACACAGCCACTACCAGTGAGCACAATGCACCACGTCGTGCACAGTGAACTGACCCCTAGAAGCTCTGATGGACATTAGGCAGAGAGGAAAGAAATAGACAAATGTTTTTCTAACAGTGGAAATTAAGTTGTACGAATACCATTCAATACTGAAACAAGTTATGACTCCAAGAAAGTATTGCCTATTTCAGTGTTTGAGTCTCTCTCAAAATATGAGTGCTAACAGCGAAATGGGGAAAAAAAAAGGCCTTGGTAAGAGAGGGAAATAAGGAACCATAAAGCTCACTAACAAAAATGCTACAGAAAATTCTTGCAGGACTATACAAGTGGGATAATTACTTAGATTGATGTGCTGTTGTTTGCTCTGTGCTAGTTACAAGCAGACAACAGCACTGCTGTGCCCACACACTGATGGGGCAGCTCTGCCCAGGCTGCTGCTGCCCACACTTCTTTAGTGCCTGATGAGATCATGTCAACTTTTAGCCTCAACAGCAACCTACCCTGATGGGTCCCACATGTTAAACTACATGCTCTATTAAATATCCTTTCCTCACAGCAATTTTTGTTTATTCCCATTTAATTTAAAATCTAATAACTTGGTCTCCTATTACTTTAGTTCTTGCACTAGGAGAGAGAGAAAGCCATCCCTTCCTGGCTCATCATCTTCATGCCATTCTTGATTATTCTTGCTTCTCTCAACTTTTTTTCTCCAGGCTACTACTTAATTTTCCTCAAAAATTGTCCCCATAGCTGTAGTCCCTGTATACAAGCTCAAAATGAGGGATTAGATCTCTCCTGTATTCAGGAACAGAACCTTTGCTGAATAATTCCATCTTCAGCCCCATAGAAGGGAACAGACAAGGGACAAATCGTACCATTTATTAACTGTTCAGATTCCTGCCCTGCTGGCTGGCACGTATCCCTTTTAATTAATTACAAAGTAGCAGTTGTTGATGACTGGAATCAACCATAAAACCTAGCCTGCATGATTCCACAGCCAGTGCTCGAGATGTCCTCTGAAAACCAAGTGTTTCTTGAATCCTCCTTTGCAGGCCAGATTTAGATCCAACAAAGCAGCACACACACCACCAGGAAACACATTCTCCCAGTGTTACATCTCGGTCCCCTGCCAGCTCTGGTACCATTTCAGCTCACAAGCCTACTTCACAGATCGGCATTCAGAAGAAAGCAAGTTTAGGATTGCACTGCTCTGAGCCAGTGACATGCAAACGTGTGACTTAATGGCAGTATAACAGATTCTATATTTAAAGCACAGTAGCCTCATCTTAAATTACAGTACAGAAAACATTAACTGAATGTAACAAACTCAAAGCAAGTATGGAAGCAAGTGTGAATAGCACACCTTTACAGGTTGCTTCTGTCCCTGGACAGCAGCCCCTGCATGGCTGCTAAGTAACAGATGAAGAGCCAGCACTGCAGGCAGGGTTCAGGTGATGCTGACGGCTCATTCTTTTCTGCAGTGCAACATCTTTAGTATTCACAAGTCAAAATCTCACTGTTCAACTAAGTATCACTTGTCTATTGTGATTTAAACAACAATTTGGAGATTAAAAAAAACGAATACAGCTAGAGTAGATTCCTACTTTTCGCTACTGCTTCAAATTAAAACAAAATAAATAAATCCCTGTTCAGAAAAAATGTAGCTACACCAGGTTTGGGGGGTTGGCTTTTTGTTTTGGTTTGTTGGGTTTTTTTCTCTCTCTTAGAACTGGGATTTCAACTTCTTCATGCTGCATTTATAGCCGGGGGGAGGGGGAGGCTGTCAAGCACTGCTGATGAACAAACCTACTGGAATTTCCAAGCTTAATACATTTATCATTTTGCACAATATTTCACTCCCCACATTAAACAAGCAGTCACAGCCCTAAATGTTGGTGAACGGGTAGTTTTGCCAAAACAAATGAACTTTTCTGCAAAGATTTTTGAAGAGAAAGGGATGAAGAAACTGGGAAAGAGGAGTCTGAAGGCAGGAAGTAGAGCACAGCTTCCCAAAGATACCTAAAATTACCGAGTTATCTCAGTAACCTCTGCAGACCAAACCCAGCCCTTTCTGTAGGCAAATAACTCCCTTTTCCTAAATTAGAACAACAGCTCTTCCGGACAGGGAACAATTTATATATACCCTGCTCTTCAAAAATCCTCTCAATTCATACACCTTAAAACAAATAGTCCTGGCAAAATAAAGGCAAATAACTGCAGCATCGACTTTCACATCAGGTATTAATTTCTGTGAGCCCAGCTCACGGTTTTGCAGCACTGTGTAGTAACATGATAGCTCTGCCCTTGTGAAAATAGCCCGGCGCTTCTGAGTCCCTCCTATTTAAATATAAATAGCAAACCCTGCAGACATCTGACTCCACTTGTAAAACAATTGTACATAAAAATACGTATGCACAGAGTATTCATTAATTCAACAGTTAAGCAATGTAATTTGAAAAGTAATTTTGTGTTAGAAATGCCTTTATGCAACTGAAAGTTTTCCCTTTTTTATTACTATTATTGAGGGAATTAATCTGAAAAATGTACTTAAATTTGCACTTCCTATCTATACAAGATGCAGGCAATTTGTAAATTAGAAATAGTTCTGTTCTTGCTAAAAAGCCAGACCACAGGAACAGTATGAAAACTATTATTTTATTAACTTCTGTGAAAACAGAATGCAATGTAAATATTTCATTAAGATATTTTGTCTATTTTCCTTCCAAGTACAGCTATGACAATTCTGTTTTGGAAAACTGTTCTGTTCTTGTTCTGCTATTAGATGCTTTGTTTGAAGGGGCAACCAAAACACTGCATGTGCTTCAAGACTGTTATAAAAGCGAATCAGTTTCAAAATGCCCCATGTGCTGAGCAAGTGGCATCTCCTATTTAAAGGTAAGGAGGTAAAATTCCACAGGTGGATCCACGTTTGACAAATAATTATAAAGTATGCACTACAAGTTAAACCAGCTGTCCAAACTGCTGTATCATCCCCCCAACTCCATTTTGTCTTAAACATCTCCACAGGTAAAACCATGGAAACCATCTTCAGAGGTGAATACACCAGAGCATCTCCAGTGGTTTGGAGAACAGCCATTGGCATCAGTGAGAGCCTGGGCACCCCCAGGCAGTGAGGAGATGTTGGCTCAGCGTTACACAGCTCCCTCACAATCCCCTTTGCTACTTGCAGGTTTATTTGAGCAAAATTATACATGACTCCAATCTTAAATTCATTTCTCCAGCACTTAAAAAACAGACATTGTTTTCCATGTTTCTCCCCAGTGAATCATAACCGAGGCTCCGGCACTTACCAAGCATCATGTGCTCAGATGGATGTCATACCAAAACCACACACATCCTGACTGTTAGCTGGAAGTCTGCTGCAGTTTGGTTCTCAGTGTTTGTTAATTGAAAGCAACGTTTCAGCCTTCAGCAGGAAGTCGTTCAAAGGTAGCTAAAACGCACTGTTCTGACAGTCTTTTGTACAACCTTTAAACGCAGCTGTTCTGTTCACTGGCACAAAGTGGTGGTAATTCACACTCATCCTACAGGAACCGCCTAACGCTGCCAATTGCTTCAGGAAAAGAAAAAAAAAAAAAAAAAGAGGCCCACCGAAAGGGGACAGTTTTGCTTACACTCACTTCCAGCCCTTAGATTCTAAAGGAACAGATGCCAAAAGTATTACTGTACCTCCAAGTGAAGAAATCACAGACGTTTCACACTCCCTTTGGCAGCAGCAGAGCTCTAACTTGAAATGGTTGTACTGTAGGAGCGTTTTTACTTGCAGAAAGAACAAGTATCCACGTGAGATGGTTTTCCTTATACTAACACAATATATAATATTGCCAACTGTAAGCTATTTCATTTGTGTAACTTAGTTCAAACTAATATTTTCCGCATCCTTCATAACACTCCTTTTTTGACGTCTCCTACTGTACTTATTCACAAATATTTCAGCTTGAAAAATGACAGCTGCTTTTGTTCAAGACTACTTCAGGATTTGTAACCCACTGATCGCAAGTATCCTCTTCACACCACGGGGATCACTTCCCACAAAAGCTCTGTTTACGTGCATTAACCCTGTTGTTGTGAGGTAGACACGCAAGAATGTAAGAAGACTTTAAAAACATAATGAATGACCCAGGGGGGACAAATCCTAAGTGGCCCTTACTCAGGATTTTTAAGCAATCTGA